AACACCAACACCATGGCTACCTTCACAGTCGATTGCCTCCCTCCCGAATCTATCTACGACTCCCGAGAGGCCTTATTCGAACGTCCATTAATATGTCGGCTGCTGTTAGGGGTTATGCATTTATAGCACGGAGGTCGACTAAAGAGAAGAATGGGCCGAGGTTCTGATAAGTTAGATGGATTTTTTAGAGGATTACATAATCTTAAAGTTTACGTAATCGCGACGGACCCGTCGCTCTAGTGGGAGCCCCAACTCGCTTATCGATTACGTTATATAATGTAAAGATTATAGCCTTCGGGCCGATATTTATCCGTACGGGATAGAACACCTCACTCCTTAGATGGTTTCCAATTAACAAGAAAGAAGAATACGTACGTTGAGAACGCTCCATTGAGAATCCATCAATCCCCAAAGGGGAGCGTACAACTGATATCTCCACTACTGCTTATAATCCTCGGCAACCAGATCTTCCTCTAGAATCTTAACATATAATATCAACAGGAAGACTCAACATGGAACAGGAATAAGAATCAAGTCAGTCACAGCAAAGCCAACACTAACTAACTACTCCCACCCTCATATACGATAGACACCGCTGCAGCCGCTGAGGATAGGACGCTGCACACTTGAAGAAGACAGCCTTTAAGCCGGTCTATCAATTCTTTTGCACTCAAGACGGGGGAACCATATGTCAAGGAGGCCTCAACCTCAGATATCAAGATAAACACGTGGAAGCAGGAAAAGCAGAAGCTTATAGGAGGATAGGTCGGAAACACACGAATTGTATATATCTAGCGCTAGTGCCCTATAGGGTTAGTCCCCTCCGGGCGTAATAAATCATCATCATCATCATCGGGGAGGCCCAATTTCATCGAGATTGGCCAATTCAGTACTGCATTCACTGTATGACATCGTCATATGGTACCTCAGTTACTACTAATATGCGGAATCATCTTAAATCAAAGCATCAGATCTTTATCAATTCTATTCCAAGCCCCCTACAACAATCAATACTCAATCATATATTAATCTCTAAATATGACTACCCACTAAAGTAAACATGAAGATTAGATTGTCATCAAAATTAGTTTTTCCGATATTAAAGAGTCAGGGATTACCTGTTTTAGCCTCTATTGGCGAACTCTTGACTAGGACATCCCATTTTTAGCCGTTGTTCCTGCGCAAGGCCGTACGATGTAGTCTAAAAACTGAGCGAAACGTAGTTAGAGCACCCAACACTATGTTCTCTTTTGGCTAATGGTCTTAGAGAAAATCATGTCACATTTTGAAATTCTACACTTTACAACCAAGTCTAGTAATTCATCCTTAAGTTACAAACAGCTGGTCAGCAATGGATCCGCCCTACCACGAGGCGTAAGGGCAGATGACAAAGCTTAGGCCATATTTAGGAATCTCTAGGTTCTGGGAAAGATAAAAGGTAACCATGACCCTTGCTCTTCTGCCTGTTCTAGTGAGTTTTCTCAGTCGTCCTCGGTCTTTACATTGTTGTGACTCGGCGAGATCTGTCACTCTTTACTTATACATACTTTAACACTCATCTGTAAATATATTCATTCCTTTGGAAGTCAATATCTATCTGCCATATACTTCGTTCCTTAGAAGAAAGTTCGTTCGAAATGAAGAACAATCAAATCCTTGCAGCAGCTAGTCTGCTCTTCACCACTCAAGCCCTCGCCCAAAACGAGATTTACAGCGGTAGCGGATTTGGGACGTACTACTACGATATTGTCAACGTAAATCAATGCTATACCGACTTCTCCAATGCTAACTTAGGTCAAGTAGAATGTAGTCTTACGCAGGTCTGGACGCTGGAAGATGTCAACTCGGACTACTTGGTGGCCATGAACTACACTCAGCTTGTCGTAGACATGGGTAAATACTGCGGCAAAAGGGTTATTGTCTCTGTGAACGGCGTGCCATCTGATATGCCACTCTTTATCGGTGATGGCTGTGAGCGTTGTGCTACGGGGTCATCAACGTCAACTACTTGGCAACCCGACGGTGCGCCAGGACTTGATTTCAGCTACAGCGTCGCTGAGAAATTGTCGTCTCAGGCATGTGATACCGGCCATATTGAGATTTCATGGGAAATCGTCGATGAGTTGGTCTATCAATTTGACTATGATGGTTCGGGCGGCCCTCAAGGCTTCGTTACTACTGCCCCTGCCGGTCCAACAACAACAAAAGTTCACACTGAGACTACTACAAAAGCTACAATCACGAAGCATAGCACGACTTTGAAAACTACCACGGCTAGCCCGACTCAAACAAGTGCTTCTTGTCAGGACAATGTCTGGCAATGCACTCCAGACGGCACTTCGCTTGAGCAGTGCATCGGCAGTACTTGGACAATTCGAGAAGTTTGCCCGTCTGGAACGAGCTGCCATGGCACTTCCAACCCTTACTGCGCTTAGTTGGTATACTACTTAAGGATTTAATGTGTACCTCAGTCAATCCTTGGTGTCAGAATCAGAACGTCACAGCCAATGGATAAACTGTCATACTTACCCGAAAGGGCTAGCTTAGGGCTTTGCCTATCGCGGGTAGTGCAGAACCAAGGGCCAGACTAGGATAAATTAGGGCTAGGAACTAATCAAACGATACATTCTGTTGTATCAGGGGATACAATTGACGATGGATAAAAGGACACTCATTCACCATGTATCTAGCTTTATTTATCGTCTTGAATTAACTGTGATAACTTGAGTATACGTTCTTCTATCGAACCGGATATTCATCCTTTTGTTAAGACTTTGCTTTCAAGAAGCCTTTCGTACTAAGAAGCCTTATAACTTCTGTTCGTTATAAGCTATCTGTGGGTTGGCTTATAAAGCCAATAAATCAACGTACGTACGTTCGTACATGCGCATCAGATGGTACTCCAAGTACTATGGTCAAATGTATTCAATTGTCTGTGTTCTTCCTTCTAAGTACATCATGTTCCAATGCCGCGTCTATATAGACCTTCTCCTGAGCTGATTTGTAAGCTACCTCATGGGGTAAACTTGAGACCTTTCTCTTACACATAACAGTTTTGGATTGATCGCTTCATTTGATGGCTTTATTGGAAAGCCATCTGATCTGACACACCTCGATTGCATGAAGATACCAACACTATCCGAGATATACTCGACGGTAGTTTGACCGAAGTTTCCGACACTTGGGAGCTTCTGCTTCGTTTACATATTCAATATTCTTTTCGCTCATATTTTCCTCATTCACTTCATGTATATATTTTTTATCCTTTTTGTCCTTTGAAAATTGAAAATATCATTTGATTTGTGAGGGCTTCTAATCTACAGAAGATAGGTAGTTAGGGTTTGTTTATATACCCGAAAATGTAGATATCCAACAGCCAATCATATCTACTTTTAGGCAACCAATCACATTCCACAGATGAAGGAGGCAAAGGGATCCCGCCACCAATCCTATTTCGGTAAAGCTTCCCCGTTACGAGAAAAGGAAAAGAAGATCAGACTTCGTTGCGATTTTTTCAAATGTTCTTTTACACCGACACTCACTCGTCAAATGATGAAATTCGAATACATTGTTGCATTATTTATCGCTAATAGATGGAGGTGATATGTATATACACGCTTTCTATCACCTGCTCTTCCTTAATCAGTTTTTGAAGACGAATGGATCGTTATTGATTGGTTGTTTACAGTTACAGATACAAGAGCGAGGTAGACAAGAAGCGGGGATGATTTTGATGTCGACGGTTCCAGTCTGCTCTGTAGACTCCAGGCGAAGTTCCAATTACATACTTCTATCTTGGATTGACGACTCCGAATCCAAACCTATGCTTTCCAGGCCGCTCAGGTACGATGGCAAGGTTTCACTCCACCATGTGCGGTAGCGGCGGGAAAAGAAATCCACCTCGAAAATCGAGACCCCCATGACTCACGGTTTCAATGCTATCGATCAGGTGAATCGGCAAAATGAACTCATACTTATTCCGAGCGCCGTCTTAGCCGGGGTAAACTTACGTAGTCAACAAAAACCGAGGACAAGCGACACAGAAAATTTCTTTCTCCATGTCAAAAATCTTCGCAATGAACTCCGACTTACCATTTTCAGGCAAAGCAGGACAAATTCTTGAGAAAAACAATCACAGATCGCCCCGAGTTTCGTAGTTCCAGGCCCTGTGGATTGGTATGAGTTCCAATAGAACTCATTGTGGACCTTGGAACGGCCTGGTCCTTTCTTACTCCAACTGCGCGTCAGAATATCTTTATTCCAAACCAAGGGGCGCAACTAAAGGTTGAGGTCGGGGCTTGCCGCATTTAAACTAGCCAATGGTAGCCCAAGATATAATGTCGCACTACATATGTCTGAACACCGGGATAAACTGTGATTAGAACGCGAGCATACGTCCGACTTAGCATGCCAATCAAAAAAATGCAGGCTCTAAATGTGATATAAATGGGATATGCCTTCCAAATAATCACCGGTTGTCATGGTTCCTGCTGATTATCAAACTACCTTCTCAAACTCGCCCAACTACGGACTACAAGTCGGCCATAATGCTGGGAATATTGAAACTCAGCATCACTACACCGCTGGTAAGTCGCTGTTTTATCCGCTATGGCGAGTAGTGACAAGACCTCAGAGGAAAAGAAACGCTAATGGAAAATATGACTAGATGATCCTTCGCCTCGTATACTCAAAAAACGCCCGATTCAACTCCAATTATCGACAGCACGCGCAGATCTGCCACAAAAATACCCGAACAGACCTCCTGCGGGACATATATAATTGGGTAGATGGGAAGGATGAGCGGCACATTTTTTGGTTTAAAGGATTGGCTGGTACAGGAAAATCGACTATTGCACAGACAGTAGCAAAGCATTACTACGACCTAGATCGGAGGCAACTCGCAGCAAGCTTCTTCTTTGCGCGGGGTGGAGGCGATGCAAGCCATGCAGGCCTCTTTGCCACAAGCATCGCCGTTCAGTTAGCAAATGATGTACCACTGCTTCGGGACGTAGTTTGTAAGGCGATCATAAAATGCAGCGACATCGCATCTCGATCACTAAGTGATTAGTGGCGTCAGCTCGTTCTTCAGCCCTTCTCAAGCCTCGAAGTGACGCACAGTCTGTCTTTATATCTCATCGTTATTGATGCACTAGATGAATGCAATAGCAAAAATGACATCCAAACAATCCTCCAGCTCTTATCAGAAGCTCGACAGTTTACACCCTTGCGCTTACGTTTCTTACTTACCAGTAGACCCGATACAGCAATTCGCCGTGGCTTTAGTGCAGTGCCGACAGTTGAGCGCCGGGATACTGTTCTTCACGAAATAGCGCCTGCTGTGGTCGATCATGATATCGCCCTTTATCTTAACCACGAGCTCGCTGTGATTGGGCGAGAACAATATCTAGGGCCAGATTGGCCTACTCAATGGCAAGTTCAGCAACTTGTGAGCCAGTCGAGCGGCCTCTTCATTTGGGCTGCCACGGCATGTCGGTTCATCTGTGAGGGGCGAAATCATGCCAATGAGCAGTTGTCTAAGGTTTTGAAAACCCAGACAAGGGATTCTGCGCCAGAGAAAGAACTCGATGCAATCTACACATTGGTCCTTATGGATTCTGTTCCTGAAAATCTTAGTGACGAAGAGAAGGGAATATCTTATGGACTACAGTACTAAGTTATATATTTGGAAATGTCGTGGTTTCTTTTATGCCGCTTTCCATTCAGACTTTGCATTTTTTATTGAAGATTTCAACAAACGAGATCACGAGAACGGTAATTGATCTCCATTCAATCCTTCACATCCCACAAGAAGAAGAGGGTGAGCTTCGATTACATCATCCTTCGTTTCGAGACTACCTGGTCAACCCAATCAGATGTGGCCTAGAAAGTCTCCAAGTCAGCGAGCGAGGTGCGCATAGGAGGTTGTTGCTCGATTGCCTGCATCTTATGTCCGACTTTGAAGGAGAATATATGCGACCTAGATTATTCTAACCCTGGTATCCTGCGAGCGGAGGTGGAAGAGAGACGTGTCCAGCAATCTATTCATCCTGCACTTCGTTATGCATGTCTCTACTGGGTGCAACATCTCCAAAGAAGCGGAGAAGTGATATATGATAAGGATCGAGTCGACGATTTTATGAGACAACATCTCCTAGCTTGGCTAGAAGCCCTGAGCTGGATGGGAAGAGCCGCAGAAAGTACACAAGCGGTGACTTGCCTACAGTCTATTATCCGTAAGAGAGCCTGACATATTTATCAAGCGTTAACTAAGTTTACTACAGACCAATACCTGCCCATTATTCTGTCAATATATCCAGGATATCAAACGCTTTATCTCCTATACGTATCCTATCGTGGAGCGTGCAACCCTCCAATTATACCTCAGCGCATTGATATTCACACCAGAAAGTAGCCACGTCCGCAGTCATTTCCAACAAAGAGTCTTCCAGTGGATGAAAAAATTGCCAGTTGTGGAGAAGAACTGGAGTTCTTTACTTTAGACACTTGAGGGCCATACTAACTGGGTGAGCGCGATCGCCTTCTCTGTAGATGGGACCATGCTGGCGTCAGCATCCGATGACTATACAGTCCGGCTCTGGGATATAGCCACAGGGAATGCGCGCTAGACACTTGAGGACCATGAGTACTTAGTGACCGCGATCTCCTTCTCACAAGACGGGGCCATGCTTATTACCGATAGAGGTAGAATACATGTCAACTCTAACGAAGTAGCTAGTTATTCCTAACCACAGCATTTGGTTTCCGCTGCTGAGGTGGTAATTTAAAACCCATGGGTTGCCTGTAATGGATACAATGTTCTCTGGCTTCCACCAGAATATAGATCTAATGTGTCTGCTGTCTATGCGACTAAGGTTGCCATCTGTTCTTCGGGCCAAGTTCTTCTCTTTGAACTAGATATTTCCTAACTCTTTAGTATGTTGTTTGAACCTTTATATAACATTACACAAAGAGAGCAGTCTAGGAACCGAGAGTGCGTGAATAAAATAAATCCACTGACGTCGCATTAGTCATCTCGAACTTGCTACAAATTGTTATATTACATCGTCACACATAGGACTATCAATTGACTATGTCGTAGCCGAGGCTTTGGAGTCGGGAATGGATCCGAACATTGCTCAGTATTTGCTTGCCATGCTAAACGCTGGAAGGTATCTTGATTGACCTTTTACTGTTATACTTGGATTCGGGACCACAGCTAACTAATTATTCGCTTTTTCTAGCCTCTTTGGACGCTTGATTGCCGGTGCGTTAGCTGATACATTGGGGGCGTACAATATTTTTACGTTCGTATGCTACTTATCAGGAATCCTGGTCCTCGCTCTCTGGATCCCTGGTACTGGGAATGCAGCTGTAATAGCCTTTGCAGTCATTTTCGGTTTCACATCCGGTGCCTATGCCTCGCTGATTGCGAATCTGATCGTCAAGATTTCACCCAACTTCAAAGTAATCGGATACCGCACGGGGCTCGCATTTTTATTTGGCTCTATCGGTGGATTGACAACCAACCCAATTGCGGGTGCCATACTACAAAATTCGAATGGATCGTATGTTGGGATGAAGATATTTTCTGGCGTCTTTATTATGAGTGGAACGACACTTGTCTTTGCTGCTAGGTTGCACCGAACTGGGCCCAAGCTGGTGGGCAAATTTTGATCAGCATGGTCGTGCCCTCTGGCACATTCAATATTGAGTTCGCTACAGTGACGCAACCTTGCCGTTAATGGTGTTGTGAAGAGCCTTGATAAAAACACGCTTAGACCTATATAGAATTAGCACGTGTCAGATTGTTTTCAATACCTAGTTGTCCCCTTTTTGAAACTCATACTACTTGACAATTTCGATGCCCATTCCAACCTGAAAGCGTCAGATATGTTTCATTCATAGCCAAAGATCTTTACAAATGACATATCGCCCTCGAGATTGAAGGATTAATACATACCACCATTCGGTATATGAAACAGAAATCTTCGTCTGTTGGAGAATTTCTCCACAAGTCCCAGAGAAAACCTCAATCTCTCTGCGTTGAGCCTGTGTGGTCTGAGAAACAAACCAGGGAAGGTAGGTAATCAACACTAGTTACAACCAGGGCTACAATACGCACAAGGTGTGTATCGTTGTTCTAACCATAGTTTGCTCGCCAATGATATACGTTAGATTCCATTGAGTTCGATATCGCAGTTGTAGAAAAGCATCCTAGAATTAGGAATGACAGTTTGGTCATGATTCCAAGCATAACTTTCACAAAGGTTGCGTACATGGCAAAGTGCATCAATTATACCCATATACCATCCTTATGAGAACTTCAAAACAATCCTTCTTGTGGTTTTATCTCAAACCGACAGAATATGTGCCAGCCAGATCCGCTGCATGAAAGGATCAAGTACGCTGTCTTGCCACATCACAGACTGAACGACGGACTTATAATCGTTCCAGTTAGACATTCCCATCTTCAATATAAGTTCTTTCAACATGTTAAGGAACCACTGTTGACTGTCTTGAAGGTGGCCAAGAATTTGAATCTCCGATATAGCACCAAGGCTAACTGCCCATAGCAAAAATGGCTGAGGAAGATTCTGAGCACCCTCATCCATTAAAATCCCCGTCAGCAGTTGTCTCAGTCTATCATAAGGGCCATAAGCAAAGGGTATAGGAAAGATAACTAGGTAACTATAAAAAAGCAGACTGGCACGAACAGCTTCGTGCTCGAATCGTGAAAATGGACCGTCTGGTTCTACGACAACCTCATCGAAGTATGGAAGCTCGAGAAGAGAGCGCTGGATCCAATTTCGCTGGTCTGCGAAGATGGCCATGTGTGGTGTTTCAATACTACCGGCTAGGTAGCAGGCGATAAGTTGATTGTAATAATGCATTCGTCCAATGATATGACGCATGCGTGGAGGCATCTTTGCAAGTAGTTCGTTGTTCTGGAAGTCGTAGTGTGCGTATTTGATTGACTCCATTTTCAAATGCTCCTCTGAGAGAGGAAAGAATGGTAGACCAGGCTGCTGTAGGCTTCTGCTGGAGCGAAGCATGCATAAACTAAAAAATCGTTAATCGGTCTTATGAGACACCATTGATCAGATGTTAAAAAAGATCTAAGCGAAAGGATAGTTCATACTAAGATAGTAGAGGAGCCAGTCTGGGGAGGGGGATCTGCTCAAGGCCTCCTTTCAACTCTAAGAGGGCTATCAACCCTTGAACATGCACCGAATTGGTATCTAGCGAACTATACACCGTCAACCACTGCAAGTCTTGCAGGGGTCGGCGTGGCTGAGGATCAGGATTCAGTGGGCCCGATCGAAGTTGCGCACTGTATGCAAGTGTCAGGACGGCGAAAATAGCTCCGTCGCTGCTGGCTCGTGCCTGGTCAGATAGGCTCCGATAAAGCCGACGAATCGTCTCATTGTTGATTTGCCAGGCTGCTTGCTGATGGTGGTCTGATAACGTGGCGTCGATCAGTCGACTCTGCATGTGTACTACGACTCCATACATGAAAGCACTGAATAGTACGGGGTCGGCGGTGGCTGCAGGAACCCATGTAATTCCAGTGTTCTCCTGAAGCAGGAGTCCCGGCCACATGGTCCTGAATGCTACGAGCCAAGTTAGATATATCGGTACCAGTCGGCGAGTGGTTTTTTGAACTACAATATGCGCACCGTAAGACATAGCATCCTGCACCTGATGGGTGTGGTAGAAATCATCTGAATAGGACAAAATCGGCTCCATTGATGCGTTGCTTAAAAGGTTCGTTAAGCCAGCAGTTGCAAGCATTCGGGTGTCGGGTTGCTCCTTGACCTGATGAGACGAAAACTGGTCAACTGATTAATAGTTCCATTATCTTATAGCTATATTTGGAATTTTTCCGCTGACCTGGTTTGCGGGGGTTTCGTCCTTAGTAGCATTTGCATTACTTGCTTGGGCCTCAGGCCTAGCTTCACGATTCAGGTGCCATCTATACTGGCTCACGTGGGAGTGAACGCGATGTCGGTGTTGCGTTCGAGTTTGTCGGAGATCATCTGTGGTGTTGACAAAGAGGAACTTCTCGGTCTCTGCCTTCTTCCTTCGTGGTCCCATATTGAGTAGTTCGCCGACATTCAGATGAGGTAACAGCGCAGTGAAAAATGACAAGCAATCTAACCCATTAACTAATCACATGATTGATTACAATATCAGGATGTGTCTTAGATTGAACTAACGTTAAGTTACTTAAATTATTTTGGATAAGTTAGTCTTACTAATAAGACTAAATCTAACTTAATTTTAGGGATTCTGGGCCCAGTTCCCATTCACTATTAAACTGCTTCACGTCGTCGTCCAAGGACAAGAACCCTACATACCAAGCGATCACTCAGATATTTAAAGAGCGGCCAACATGTATAACCATAGACTCAGGGCGTAAAATGCATACGGATAACGTGTGCCCACCATGGGCCATTCCTTGCATAACTTAGATATTATATGAGATAATTACTAATTAAGATACTAGGTTCTAGAAGACTGACAAATGGCATGCGAGTCAAAATATCTTTCTTCGCTTGTTCTCATTTCTCCAGCTCACAATTTCATAGTCCATTTTAGGATGACCAATCGCTTTCCTAAATTGGAAGTACTATATAGTATTCTGATTTCCAGAATGATCTACTAGTAGTACGTGGACCGGTTGGGATCATATTAAATACAGTTTCACCATTTCTCATATTCGATAATGCTGCTTTAGTCGCTAGAGAGACACGGTTCGGAACCATGGCAGGCCATCTTTATGCCATTCGTCGTATTGAGCCTGCTCTGGGTTTTTTTTCCTCCTTCGACCCAGCATGACTTTGAGTTTGATAGGTAGCGAGAAGCAAGACATGCATGCAGTTCTTTTCTTCTATAGATAGGGTATAAAAACACTGAAGGTCGAGAACGTTCACTCGCCGTAAGCCCCCAGGTGAAACAGCCCTAGAGGTAGTTGGACGGTTTCCCTCTGCTTACCAATCCACTGAATGTTTTGGCCATCAAAAACATCACGCGATCTCTATTTCTTCTAGTATATATATAATCACAGTCCACGTATATGAAAATATGTCCGGCGTCATCTCTCTTCCTCCCCGACGGTAAGTTTGTAAACAGTTACTCAAGATTCAGCAAAGCGACTTTTAGCTCTCAGAAGCCCACCGTACTTCCACAGCCCAAACAGTAGCACAACACAGATGATATCCAAAAACGCAAGCAAACTAATACCCCGGTCCAGGCCGAGATTTATGAACATAAACCTAGAGAACATGATTACTCCAGCCGCCAAGGTTGACCGGGCAAAATCATAAGCTGCAAAGAGAGACGCCGCGTAACGTGGATACGAGAAGGCGATGTACTGTAACATGCAAACAATCACCGTGAATGTCCCAATGATGTTGAGGAATAGACCGAGGATGGGGACCATCCAGTGCACGCTGGGCCGGGAGGACCATGCTTTCATGTAGTTAGTTTTTGTTCAACGGCTGTATGAAAAGGGGAGAAACTCATAAAGCTAATATAAACGTACCAGTGATGAATAATCCAATAGGATTGAGCGTACAAACCAATAGGCCCGGAACGAGACGCCTCTCAGGGGCCCCAAAAGCGCCCAGTCCTTTCGTTTCCAAGTGTCGCTCGACAGAGAGGTACCAGTATGAAGCTAGAAGCGTGGTGGCAAAACATAGTGTTAAAAGGACAGCTAGGAATGGGAGACCTGTAACCTTGAACCTGAAGTGATAGACAGCTTGGAAAATAACCAGGAATGATTCGAAGAAAGAATAGAAGATGGCATAGATAAGGCTGGTGTAAATCGTTGAGAAGAGCACTGCCGGGTCAAGGACATTGATTTCTGTTGGTTTTGAAATGGCGTTCCAGAAAATGCTCGTTTTTTGTTAGCGATGCGATCGATCTCCTCCTTTGTACGATATTTATCATCCCCTGTAATCTTGCGCAAACGGCGAGCACGGAAGTAGAGGATCGTGGATGCTGAAGTCTCGGGTACAAAGAAAAACCATAATATAAGCACAGGGGTGCTGACCCAAAGCATATCCCATGATACCCAATGCCAATTCATTGCTGGTGCACTGAAGTTAGAGATTACGGGGGCCAGGGCAGGTCCCTGAGGATTATCTATATTCCGTTTATTACCATATTTGGACTAGTAGACTGAGATTTGTTGGATTGTACGTAACAATCTTAAGCGGTAATTATATCAACGTATCAAAATTATGTATGCACAAGTATGGAATCCTTGATTCTTGTTGTCTTCTAAGTACAGTAAAAGTGGGAGATATCTGTTGGATTATTACTAATCCGTGGGGGCAGATTCGGCAATGATTCCTAGCTTTGCTACGTGGAAAGTGTTCGTATTGGAAGTAGAATTAGCAAGCAAAATTGTATGTCTTCCCCCCTCTCTCTTTCTAAGAATTGAGGGTGATTCTATGTCTTTATATATTCCAATGCGGCCTCAGAGAAGTAAGGGAAATAACAACAGGAATTTCAGCTAAGGCAAAGCGAAGAATCCGAGTCACAAACATGAAACTATACAGGTTTGACCACTGTAGTTGATTGGTATCAAGGGGCATTTTGGCGATGTGCACTTTCTTAATTAGGGTCAGAGGTATCGTCCTGTCGACACCTAGTTATCTAACAATATCTTTTACCTCCTATTCGGTGGATCCCTCTCCTCAGTGTATGGCTCGTTATTATTGGCTGATAGATCTCATCTATCTGATTGGCTGGATCAGCTTAGCTAAATCCAACAAACTCCTCCAGATAGGAGTGATAACCGAAACCTTTGCGTCTTCGAGACCGGAGCCTTCGTTTTTCATGGCTCGCAGGCGATGGCCTACCCTTTCTTCCCAGAAGCTTCTCTATACACCTATTGCATTGGACGCATGGACATCACCATGCTCGGTTGGAAGGAATAGTAATACCTGATCTGATTGATGATGTCAGCCTTGCAGTAGCACGAAGCTGTAACCCCTCCCTCTCAACCTAGTGAACAGTGCTTTGCATTCTCCTAGCATCATAGAAAGGTTCACAGTTAATCTTGTATGATCGAGACATCGATAATGGACATCGGCACTTGAGTGACCTGACCTGTTTATCCAGTTCCCTGCTTTGACCTATAATAATGTCTTTGACGCACAACAGCTACAAAGTCGCCTGGATATGCGCCTTGCCGCTGGAGGCAGCAGCGGCCCGCGTCATGCTGGACAAAACTCACAGTCCCCTGCCGAAACCCTCCACCGATTCGAATGCCTACGAGCTTGGCGAACTAAATGGTCACTATATTGTCATTGCCTGCCTACCAGCTGGTGTATACGGTACAGTGTCTGCCGCGGCCGTGGTATCTTGCATGCATTCCACCTTTCCTAGTCTTCAATATGGACTGATGGTGGGAATTGGAGGCGGAGTTCCAGGCAAAAACAATGACATTCGACTAGGCGATGTAGTAGTCAGCAAACCGGTTGGAAAGTACAGCGGAGTGATACAATATGACTATGGCAAGGCGGTTCAAGGTGGACAATTCGAGCAAACAGGCACATTAAACAAACCACCACAGGCTCTTTTGACTCATATAAGTCAATTGCAGGCAAAAATCATGACTGGAGACCAGGAAGATGTTTCAAAAATAGTGTGGGAAGTCCTCGAGCGAAATCCTGAGATGAAAGACAGATTTGCGCCCCCGGAACAGCATATGGACTTTCTTTTCCATTCATCCTATCATCATGCCGACAAAGAAGACACCTGTGGAAAGTGTGATAAAGACAAATTAGTCAAACGACAACCTCGTGCTACCAGGACACCTTATATTCACTACGGGTTAATTGCATCAGGAGATCAGGTGATGAAAGACTCAGAGACACGAGATCGTCTAGCACAACAACATGGGATTCTCTGCTTTGAGATGGAGGCAGCAGGCCTTATGGACGAGCTTCCGACGCTGGCAATTCGAGGGATATGTGACTATTGCGACTCTCATAAGCAGAAACAGTGGCAAGGATATGCAGCTTTAACTGCAGCTGCTTATACGAAATTGCTGTTATTAGGTATTCCTAATAACCGTTCTGATATTGACCTGGTTACAAGCAGTAAAATTCGGCACTGGATCGTCTCGCTTGCAAGAAATTTAAAATTTGTTGGTCGTCAGGAGGAAATTGTGAAACTAGAAGAATTAATCATGGCGCAAGATAGGCCCAGGAGGATCGCAATCACCGGCTTAGGAGGGGTTGGGAAGACCCAAGTGGCCCTTGAGCTAGCATACCGTATACGGGACCGAGATAAGGAGTGCTCAGTCTTCTGGATCCCCTGCACCAGCCGTGCAATGATTGAACAGATGTTCCTGCATATTGCACAAAAACTCGGCCTTCATAATTTGAATATGGCAGAGGTTAAAGAGCAGGTTAAGATATACCTCAGCTCTGAGCGTGCAGGCAAGTGGCTTCTGATTTTTGATAATGCAGATGATGCAGAGATGTGGTTCGCACCTAGTCATACAGTCCCACCTCTCGAAGACTTTCTCCCTGAGAGTGAACAAGGTTGTATTCTGTTCACTACCCGAAACCGAAAGCTCGCCATGAAGCTGGCGCCGTTTGAAGTTTTTCCAATCCCAGACGTGGACAAAGAAACCGCACTCAAAATCCTAGAGAAAACATTAGCACGCGAGGACTTGCTTAGAGATACTACCACAACAACTACTCTCCTTGAACAATTAGCCTTTCTCCCATTGGCGATTGTGCAGGCATCAGCATATATTATCGAAAACGGTATCAAGTTATCGACCTACCTTGAACTTCTCCAAGAGCAGGAACAAGATGCTGTGGAACTCCTGAGCGAAGACTTCAAGGATCCAGGACGTTATAAGGATATCCAAAACCCTGTGATCACTACCTGGTTGATATCTGTCGGAACGTGAATATCAAACCCTACACGTTTTGGCACCGGATATAGTTAGTCTGACGCGGCACGTGCGTGCCGCGTATATCTAGCTAGCTATCCCCGTCCCCCTCGTTCTTGGGGACAAGTCACAATATTAGGAATCAAGATATCTTCATATTGTCAGGCTCATTAGGCCGCTTCGTGTTCGCGCCTTACTACCGTCTATGCTTCGTGATACGGACCGTAGTTAAACCAACACTGATCAGTGAGGCCCACAGATCAGACCTTACCCCTATTCTCACTTATTCGAATCCCCCGTCGACCTCGCGTCGATTACCACCCTGCTGCGCCGATATACGCACCAAATCTCTTGCTCGTGAGCTCTTAGCTGAGTCTCATAAACCTTACGAATCCACCCGTACGAACCTACGTACGAAACCACCTTCGACCCCGAGTCGAATACCCCTCTCAGTGCGCCGATATACGCACCGAATAACCGACAATATGGCACCCACGGATTATACAGATTTTGATCCGAATGGCAAGGACCGCAAGACAATCGAACCATGCGTAATAACACGAACAAAGATCTACACCGATCTGTACGACGACGACCTATGGTTTACCTTCAAAGATGATTTTGGAGACTGGACTACAGATAACCTTTGCAAAGCGACCGTACCAGTCCTTGGAAAACTACGTGACATACTGCGAACCAATGGTATATACGTACCAAAGGGTGGACACGCAGGAAGAGTATTAGCGAACACACTGACTCTTCCAGAACCACACGAATGGACTGAAAGTGAAGTTATTGAGCATATACAGCTTAAAGG